AAAAACATTCTTATTAAAATATTCTATCATTGTACAATAGAAAAATATCTCTTTCATAATTAGTAAACCCTTAAAAAAATCTTTCAAATTCTGAAAATTTCTGGTAAAACAGTTATAAATAAATAAAATCTATCTCGACATACTTTTCGGTGTTGTTGGACGCTTTCCAATTGATGCACTTGACATTTTTTAGACTTCAAAAGAAATTCATATGCCGTTGCCTACTCTATATGCAAGATGTTCTTTTTTCTAAAATAAAAAAAAATATAATCCGTAGTTTAAATTTAAGATAATATTTAGATTAAATTGAATCTTTGTTCAATATATCTACCATCAGAATCATTGAACTAGTAGTTACCTAGCATTGACACAATCCTCCACATAATTGACATCACCAATCGCAGTGACATCTATAGTTTAATTCATGAAGGTTTATGTGACATCATTTCTTTTGAACAGTAACAACATAAGCATATCGCAATATCATAGTTTGACGCTGATGAAATACGAGCATCACATTTCGAAATAGATTTATATGATTTCACTTGTATACGAAACAGAAATTACATCGATTGACTTGAATTATGAATTCCACAGAACTTTTCAAATATATTACACAAGATCCATGAGAAATTTTTATGTGTTGAATATTACCAGATTATTTATAACGTACCAAGATATGAATAAATATCCACTGTAGTCGATTTCAATGAAAAAATAACTTAGAAACGATATCGTGAAAACAATAATAAAAAAAAAAGATATCTTCACTACGCAAAAAAAGTAAAATTATAAGAATGTCGAGAACTATTATTTGAGCATTGCAAAAAAGAAATTAAAGATCATATTAATAATTAGTGACATTTATTTGTATTAACATTTACCAGTTTCCAAGAATCGTTGTCCATTAATTACTATATTAGCAGCTTTATACACGTTTTCTGATATCGAACAAATCAAGAAGTTAGCTAATGAACTTTGTGCTATCAACATCTTGATACTTAGAGAAGTAGTGAACGGAAATCTCAGGAGCTGCCTAATTCAAGTTCGAAAACAAATTTTCTTGCAATTATAATTCGAAGTAATGCCTTTAATGTTAGAAGAGCCAAAACGACCCAAGTTATATATGTTTATTTTAATTTATAATTATAATCTGAGTAAAGACACTCACTGTTCCCAATTAGATTAAATTTTCATTACATGTGAATTTAAATGATAATAGTAGAAAACTAATATTTGGCATCAGATCAACATAATTAAACTTTAACGAGTAAAAAAATGATGACCCTAATAACAAATTATTTAAGTGATCATGTATTTTCTTGTCTTCAATACTCTTTATTTAGTAAATTGAAGATTTATATGCTGAGTTTACAATGCACGAAACTATATGATACTTGCGGAATATTTAGTCAAGAAAGACTTTACTAAATATACGAATCGTTGGTTTGGGAGAAATTGGTTTCAATTTGATAAGATCGTTTTATTAACTATTCAATTATATCCTAAGTATTTATATATAACACTGGTCATCCATCCGCTGAATTTCAAGAGAATAGCGTTTTTTAAACAATTGGAATTGTCAAAACAAATACACTTACCAATTATGATAATATCGAGAAATAGTTTTATTGATACACTTGACTATCGTATATTTCGGCGAAATTAGAACATGGAACAGTCGCATTGAGTATGCTGAAAGCAAAATATTAAAATAAATATTTTGGCCGTTTACATAACCATCTTATAGACACAAATTTATATCTGATAATAAACATAAATTGATATAACGAAAATTATACCTAAAAGCATTGCACCTCACCTGCAAATTCCTGAATTGCGTGTTATCCAACGATTGTTATAAAGGTAAAATAAAATTTCTTTCTCAGTTCTAGTGCTCAAACATTTGGGAAACACATCCGATTATGTTGTCGCAAAAATATATCAATTAGTTGGTAAACTGTTTAATATGCGTTTTCGACAAGTATCATCTCAAATGGTCGTAAATATTCAAAACTTCCATCATCTTGGATAATTGAAAGTTATAGATAAGTCAAAATGTTTGCACATATGAGCGAATAGTTGAATTATATATTTCTACATATGTTATTATATTGAAATGGTTGTCAATTTTTTTTTGTTGTATGTGTTTTTCTTTGTTAGTTGTTTTTGTGAATTTAAAAATGCCATATCGTAATTCGAAGAATTGAATGAGAAATATGTATAAATTACCGAAAGATTTCATGGCTCTTAAAAGAAGAAACTAGAATCTAATGGATACAAAATTTGATGTCATCTTTTATCATATCACTTGTCCAAATTGTACAGAGTGTGAGTGTGAGTGCGGGTGTCCATGAAGGTCTAGAGAAGACCCATGTAGACCTTCACTGGTCTTCGCATCGGTTTATTCAAACGGCATATAGATCATAGCTAAATTTATTTGAAAAGCAACGCAAATCTAAGAATCTCAATGTCATTGAACAGCTTACATGACTCATGATGTATCGATGACGAGAAGGGATTGCATTGTACATTGCAATAAAATTAGAATCTGATAGAGTATCGAGGAAGTAGTCAAATGATCATGACTTTTTTCTTCATTGCCTATCTTTTTCTTCTCATTTTTTTGGAAGAAAAATTTTTAATTCTATACACACGAGAGAAAAGAGCCAAAGAGATTACCAAAAGAATGCAAAATAAGAAAAAAATCGAAGTTTTATTTCTTGGATTTCGTTCCTATTGCGCAATACATAAGAGAAAGAGAAAATTTAATGTGAGCAGCTATTTAGTACGTCGAGAGAATATTCATGAGTACTACATTCCTCACAGATGCTCTTGAGATATTTTTTCTTCAACAGGACTGTGTTAGAACTGATAAAAATCAAAAACAAATCAGAAGCAACAAACTGAAATCAGATATAAACATTTTCCTCATCCTCAAACGCTGCTTCGTCCTCAACGTCACTAGAGCAAGTGTTGTGGAAGCATCTGTTCGGATTGCAACATTTGTATTACCTTGTCAAAAAATGAATGCACACAACAATGAATTTGTTGGTCCCATTCTCTAATAGAATCAAGTTGTCTCCAATGTGTTAAGGGTTAGATATAAGTTCGATGCAAATTTCGCATGAGAAAGCTCATAGTGCCCTGAGTTGAAACATTTATTAAAAGCAACACGAACGTAAGATAAATAAGTGATGAGTCAAAAGTTGCATCCAAACGGAGTGCTGATTACCGATGCGAAGGCAGTTAATTTACTTCAGATAAGAAAGGCTTTTACAAAAAGATTCCCAGAATATTTCCATCGCTAATTGAGGGTTATCCATACAAAAGTTCATAGAATTTGTCCTTTTTATATCTTTATTTAATCAATCAAGAATTAATAAATATCGTCGACTGAAAAGAGAAATAGAAATAGTGCGTGAATTGGAACGATTAACACAGATTCTTGGAAGAATCAATTTGCCGAAATCTAATTGATGTTGACGACTTTAAATTATAGGTTCAGTTGTCGATAATTCCTCTCTGCGAATATGATTGTAATTTTCTTATTTGTCGAAAAGAAACGCATCAAACAATATCAGAGAATATGACTGATAGAGAATTTCTCAAGAATTGCTTTTCGAAAGGAAAACATTCTACAATAAACGTGGCAGGAATGGAGATGGATGTTAGGATGTATGGGTGAATATTGTTTTCATCCTTACTTAGGCACATCCATCAATCCAAACACACGTGATCCTTCCTCGATGTACGTAACATGTCCATATAGAACAAACAGAGATTTCTTACATACGTCTTGATATACATCGACTTAATTTGTTTTAATCGAAGGATCTACAAGAAGCTACTCGAAGATTCTTTTTCTCTCATCGTATACAAGGAAAAGTGTTGAATTGCACTTTTAAAACTTTTTTAGTGTTTTTCTCAAAATAGAATTTTCGTTTTGAGGTTTCTGTGCGTCTCGGAATTCTTCACCATCTACAACGCTAGAAAGCTGACCGGGGTTTCAAAATCAGAGAAAACACTATAGCTCTACAACTTAACAGAGTCAGGTGTTTCGATTTTACGTTTAACGTCTAGTGAAGGTCAACTGTTGCAGAAAATATACTTCACTTTTTCCCTATTATATCAAAAAAGCATTTTAAAAGAATGAACTACAAAAAAAAAATTAAAAATCTGACTGTGTTAATTTATTGTGCCGGATCTTCCCATATTCCAAAATCAATCTAAGTTTCCTAGCCTTTGAAATAAGAAAGGAATTGAGAACGCACAGGCACGTATATATCGATTTTTGATCTGAAGCTAAATGTTCGTAGACTCAATGTTTCGAGCTGAAATTTTCTGTGTGAGGTGTCTAATTCAAGACGCACATTCTTAAAAAATGTCATCCAGATTCGGTGATTGCAAGCACAAATAGACTTTATGTAGGGGAGAGGCTGAATAAAGTGAATAAAAGAATATCGAAGTGATGAAACTGATACATTGTATAGACACGTGTAATTCAACAATGATCTTTTCCTTCGATTCTTCAGAAAACTATTATTTTTTCTCTCAACTTTACATATAATAATTCTTGATATATGCTTAGAGTAAATATAGATTATTTGAAGTATATGATAAACAAAGAATTAATATATGGTTTTTCATTAAAAATTAAGAAGTGATCCATTTGAACAATAACATAAACATGGTTCAATGGTTTGGTCTGATGAAAATGATAATGAACATAATCAAAGTTTTCTACCTATTGGTCTTCTTCCTAATCATCATCGTTTAATGGCGCCTGTAATTTACACAACTTCCATCAATACATATGGAAGAAACTTCTACACATCGAGAACAACAGGATGGTATTGATACTGCTCATATTCTTCATTGAATAATCTATCCGTATTAAAATGCGACTGTGAACAAATGAATGCAGATCGACTTAATGGTAATTTATCTCCAAAAATCTACAACACGTTGTAGTATATTTTCAACTGAACCAATAACAGATGATCAACAGCAATAACAAATATCTTCCTCACCCACATATCAACATAAAAAAATCATCACCTACATCAAGTATCGAACGCCAATCTTTTTCATCTTCTTCATCATCACCACTACCAACACAAACACAACAATCATTTACTTCAGATACATCCATTATTGATAGAAATTGGTTAGAACAACAACATATACATGATACTAATACACATTGTATATTACCATCAACATGTCATGATCATTCAAACACAAAACAAGTATATCTATTTATTTTTATAGTATTAAATAGAATTACTTTTTGTTTTTTTTTCTAGCTATCAAATCATGAAGTGAAACAATTAATCAAACATGTTTCACAAGCACTTTCAACTACAAATACTTCTTCAGTAAAGCATTTTTAAACTTCTTTGTTTTCATGACAAGAAAAATTTTTTTTTGTCTTTAAAATAGACCACAAGTACTAGTCCACCATCATCATCATCAAGCAATCTAATGGAAACAATAATTGAACGATTACGTGCAAAACCTTCAAGTGAATTATTACGTAGTCTATCACTATTAGATAATACTCTACTTCAACAATCTGAATCATCAAATACAACAACAGTAAATGTAACAAGACTAGAAAAAATATTTAAAACAAAATATACAACTATTCTTCCATCGAATTAATTCAAAAAACTTTATTTTTTTCTTTCTAGAAACAAATATTTAGTTTTTTTTTTTGTATAACAGTGATGTTATAACATATAAGATTCCATATGAAGTTCAGATAGTTACAATGTCTTCTTCGATTCTAATTCAAATAACAAAAGTTATTATTGTAGATCTAGTCTAGAGTTTTTTTTTTCTTTCTGTTTTCTCTTGTAATGATACAAAATAAAATAATTTGGGGTTGAATTAATTTATTGTTTGTTTAAATGAAAAGAAAAATTTATCATTTGAATATTATTATAAAGAGGTGAGTGGATAAATATCGCCGATTAAGTTCGACTTTAAGAGCACAGCTTCAGAGGCCAAGCGATTAAAAAATCAACGCTTAGTCTGCGAAACAGTGATCTCATGTCTCACATTTATTCTATCACACTCACACTATATAGATAGATCATATCAAGTATTTATTTGATATAAGTTGCAAAACACTATTCGGTGATTATATGTTCTATATCGATTTAAATCGAAGTTTGAACCGTTAAATTCGATAACACGTGGTCTAACTGTTGAATATATATCTGTTATTTTCTCCTTGGATAGATAATACAAAGACCCAATGAAAAATTCTCATAGAAAATTTTACGTTTTTAGATATAATTAACCGACAAAATAAATATACCACTAGTTCATATGTGTGTATTATTGAGTCATGAACATAAACAACTTAAAATAAAAATAGCTGAAAAAAAAATCTTGATCATACTTGGTTTTCTTCAATTTCATGTCAGACAAATATTCCTCTTCAAAATCGTCCATATCCATCAGAATCTATAAGATTGCCTTTTGATGAAGAAGCTCATTTACATCGTCTTATCAATGCTCAAAATGAATTATTAAGAAAATATGAAAATGAAATTATTCATAATCGACAATAACAACAGTTTGAATCATCATTTCCAGCTGCACTTATTGAAAATCATAAATGTCGTTTAATTCGCTGCCAAAAGAAAGAACAAGCTATTTCTGCTCAAAAACGTATAATAAAATGAGAAAGACAATATGAAAGTATGCGTCAAAAACTGAGTATACTTGATGATGATTTGTTTTTTTGAAAAAATTAATCGTCTTAAATTTGCTTTATAACAAGCAACAAGTCTTAATCGAGAATATGAAAAGCAAAATAAATTTTTAAATGATAGATTATTATGTAATTTGTAATTTTTGAAAAAGATATATTTTTTTAAAAATATATTGAAAAAATTCAAAATTTTTCATGGCCATATAATTCAAGCGTTAAAATCAAAACGAATTGAGAAGAAACTATATGTATATATTTTTCATTATGGTTGTAGATGGATAAAGACCATCCTTTTGCATCCAAACATTGTTATTATTCATCGCTGAAACTTGTAAAATAGACTTAATAAGAAAAGATATACTTGTAAAATGAAACAATAACGTTATTAAGAACAATTAGATATGTAATTTATTTCAACAAGACGAATATGTAACGAGTGTTCAAGAATAAATGGATCTCTCGGTACTTTAACAATATATTCATCAATGTACATTACTTCGACTTGAATTTTTTACCAAATAATCCTTCGTTCCAATCTCTACTAGTCAAACCTTTTGAGTTGAAGACTATAAGACATATATATAACGTATTTTGTTGTGTTTCATCTTTTTAGCTGTTGAGTATGGTTGACATGCAATTAGGTTTTCTATTGTACAGACGCTTCAAAAATTTCGATAAAAAAAATTACTAAGACAAGCATAACTAGGCACATATCTGTTTAGAGAAAAACGAGAACCAGCTGTTTAAAATAAATACTGCTACAAAATCTGTCACTTCAGCGCTAAATGTTTGATTATTACTTTTTATACGCATCTGCAGAGAGTTTAACAGGGAATTTTTTTTGATAAGAAAATTCCTGTCGAAGTAATGGATGCTGATAGAGATATTGATAAAAGATTAATAGACCCATTTATTATTCGGCAATCTGATATATATATATAGATAAAATATATATCATTGCTGATTTTTGATTTTTAATTTATAAGATCATAAAAACCTGGTCGTACAAAAATACACAGTAAGAATGTTTAGACTTTCTTTTGTTTTTTTTTTATAAAAAACTAATTCTTCTACATCCATATTTCTTATCTATGTACATAGATATTTCATAAATATGTTTCAAGTTTAGGTGATCGTCTTTTTGTATATTCATTTGTATTTGTAATTGATATATTAGGTTTTTTATTTAAATTTAATATATCTTCATTTGATTGTTTGTTTTCATATACATTTGGAGAATCTTCATCAACAAAAATCGTATTTGTTTTATCACTTGTTGCAATTTGTTCATCAGTAGTACCTTTGGATAAATTTGTTGATTTTGTTGGTCGTGTTGTTGAATGTCTTTGTTTTATTGATGGTAATGATGGACTATCTGTTAATGATTCTGTTTTATTATATAGTTGACGTTGATGATAATTATCCGATGGTAATGTTGGTGATGTACTTCGATTTTTATGTATTATTGTTGTTGTTGATGATGATGTTGATGACTGTTCATGTAAATTATGATGTTGATGATGATTTTCTTTATTTCGTCGAAATTTTTCTTTATGTGGACTATCATTTATTGATATTGCATCAGTATTTTCAATAATATGATCGGTTAATAAAACTTGTTCAATATGAGTTTGTTGTTTACGTCTAGTTACTTCATTCATCATACCTTCTGCTAAACTATTTAAAGTTTCTAAACGTAATAAATTAAGATCAACATCTTGAAATTTTTGTTGACGATATACATCTGATTGACGATGAACATATAATGCAACAATATCACATACAAATGTTGCTAAACCAAGTATACCAATTAATGAACCAATATTTAAACTTAATGTTATGATATCAAAACGACCAGCTTCACCACTAACCTATGATAAAAATATAATGTTTATTACTATATTGATTTAATGAATTTTGTTTTTGTTTATAGACAAATATTCACTTTTTTTTGTTATAATCAAACAAATTGATTCAAGTGAAAATCTTCGAAGAGATCAAAATTTTGATCTGTTCGATTGTATGAACAGTTAGATAAGATAAAATTTAAATAGTTTTCAATAAAAATATTATAGAATCGCAAAGATTATCGTGAAAGAAATAGATGTATCTTTTTCAAATATTCTATGGTCTTTATGCATGCTTAACCATGAAAGCAAAGTAGGCCAATAGATAATAATCATATTGAACTTACAGTTGGATATTATTGTATTACTTTCTATTATTTTCACACTTGTAAAATGCACTATTCTACATGACTCACATATTCTTATACTAATAATCTTTTCTATTTAAACATAATTTTTTTGCCATTGTATACTTGTAAAAAAGAGTCTTTTGAATGAGTATACATCACAGTTGTTAGTCGATGTAAAATTACTAGAGGAACTAAAATTATCAAAAAGTTTAAGATTGTTGACTTGAGTCAATATGGAAGATACATTAATTATAAGTAAATGTATTTTTGATCATCCAATTTTTCGATATGTCATGTTTCTTCATCTTTTCTCTATCGAATTCTTCTAAATGACATACATATTCAAGGACGCATGATAGAATGACAACGTGTTCGTCCCTCAAGAAGTAACATCAAGTTGAAGGTTTTCTTCCCCACGATACTATATTTGTATAATTCTGTTCTATTCTACGTGCCTGAAGCTACTCGTTCGTCAATGGTCTATATATTCTAAACACATATCAAGATGGTTCGATTCTGCGGACTATTGCTCATGACTTATATTATTTGTGTTCATTGTTTTATATTGGTATATGCTTATGTTTTGCTTCACAAATTTGTAATCAGAACTATATCCAAACTTTTTTTTCCTACTAAACAATCGATTGCGAACTAGATAGATATAAAAAGACTGAAAAAAATAATCATAACAGTACTCATCATCGTCAACAAGGGAGTTTTTATTTTGTATTTTATTATTTGAAACCTAAATTGCACTAGCGAGTTGATTATAGATATTTATCATTTTTAGTAACGGCTTATATATTAAAAGAGTGTTTCGTGTAGTAAGGATTTTGTTGACTTGTATTTTATTAATATAGTTATCTATGTGCCCTCGTTAACCACAAAATCTATTCAGATGAATGAAGTACAACCGAGAAACGGTAGAAACTTGGATGCACAAATTCAGACTATTGCAGCGGAACCGGTCATTACATCTGATCGCCAGATTTTCTCATTCTGATGAATATTATTTATTAGGAAATGAACGTTTAAAAAATGTCTAATTAATTCTTTTTTTGATGATAGAAAGATCTACTGATATTCTTCATTAATAGATGAACTGAACTTACAGAAATAATAAAACGAAGACCAAATGCTTTAGTTAAAGTACGAAATGATCGATTATGATGTTTCCAATGTGAAGCAAAACTAAATAAATATATAAAATAAATTAAATTATTTTGTTTTTTTTTACTTTACCGAAAATTAAATCCTTTGGAAAAATCTTCTTCTTTATATGGTCCATCTAAACGTTTAAATGAATATTCTGGCAAACAATAATCTAGTGATTTATCTAAATTACATTTCCACTCAATTTTAACACGTATAACACCACCATGTTTTAACATTTGTATTCGTTCAGTAAGATCTGGTTCAACAAGATTAAGTAAAGTTCCAACACGAAATATTGGACATATTTTATGATTTATTGGATCATAATTACATTTTTTAAGATAAGATACACCTTGTCGAATATTTTTTCTAATAACTTTAAAACGTGGAAATTCAATAAAATTTTTAACAAATATAGTAAAATTTAATGCATCCTCTATAGGTTCTGGAATATTACGATCATTTTCCACCGGACACCAACCTTCTAATTCACATCGACCAATAACTGGTTGAGAATTATTTTTTTCAGATTTTTTATTTATTACACAACGACCTAGATAATTAAAAATATAAATAAAGAAATAAATAATTAATGTTTATTTTTATTTTTTGACTTACCAGTCCATTTGCCATTAGCCTGCAATAAACAAAATAGATGAATTAAAATTTTATTGATGATAAATATCATATATAGAGTTTTGCGGGACAAACCTTTTTGTACCACAAGTCCCATTTACTGAAAGACGGTTGACTGTCCAAAGTGTAGTAACCGACTTACTGCTTTTCGCTCATTTAGTTGCTATTCTTCTTATTCTCGATGCATTAATCATGACTCAAGTTTTGATCAAATTGCTGATCGGTATCTCGAAGCACGTGAAAAAAAATGACAAAGTCCTGTAAAATTGATCTTTTGGAACCGCTACTTATAATCAAAGATGACGTCTTCTTATAGATTGAAAAAGAAATAGTATCGATTCAATCTTACCATTATCACATTGCGTTGAAACGAAAAGTGTCTGAGCTTCCGTTCTCAAGGTCATTATGACATAAAATGACAATTTTTTATACGTACATCGAGAAAGAAAGAAGAAATCTGTCAAAAAAAATGCGGGACACAATAATCAACACAGCTGAGAGTTTTCTTATATGATCATACATGACTCCATTTGAAAAAGACCATTGATATTTAAGATGTTTCACATAATAGTTTCTTTGTTGTGGCAATAGTTTATTCAGAGTTATTGTCTCTTTACTTATCAGCTGAGCCATGATAATTGAACGCGACTGAAATTTATTATGATTTCCTTTACGGAAGTCTAAGGTTAAGAAATAGCTAATGTCGTATAGGGTCGCCTTTATTTGTTAGGAACAAAAAAATTTAATGTGTATGACATATTTTGATATAAGAATTAAACAAAATTCGAGACATTGATTTTTCCTATACTATTCCGCGAGATTTTTCGAGATCCAGAACTATCTCATAGGACTCTAAATAATAGAACTTC